GTAGGGAAAATACTTGAAGATGCCCAGCAGAACCTGCTGTTCCTGGAATTAAGTAATCAACTGCTCTTAGATAATGCAGGCAAGAGAAAGGACAAAAAAAAAAAAAAATCCTGTCACTTCTTATCCATTTCCCACTGCATACCAATTATTATGAACAGAAAAAAGCTGATGTCTCTTGTAGGACCAGGAGTAAAATGAACTGAGTAAGCACCCAGAGCATGGGAAAGGATCCAGGATACTTTCTGCCAGGAGCTGGTGATAAATAGTCTGAGTAGTCACTCAGACCAATGAAATTAATCTCATTTTCACATGTATAACTTACACTTCAAATAATTCGCTCCCTTTAAAATATATCGTGGACTATAGATGTGGTTCTCGGGCTTCGTCATCAGATGGGGGTTTCGGACAGCCCATGCTAAGCTGGGAGCAGGAGGGATGAGGAGCAGAACAAAGGCAGGAGAGCTTGAGGACTGAAGAGAACGTGCCCAGCACGCTCACAGTTAAGCTTCTTCCTTAATTCCTTCTGCCTGCACATTAACTACCTCATTGTGCCCCTGGAAGATATTTTCAAGATATCCTATAGATTATATTCATAAAAATGCACATACTGCCTCTTACAAACTGAACTGAATAAATATTTATGAAAAGAAAAATAAGTCCATCCAAGCCCAGCTTTTTCTGCTGCTACCTTAATACCATGGAAAGTAAAAGCAGGCTATGGGGGATATATTTCTTTTAAATCAGGAAGGAATCTTGCTCTTATTCTGGAAATAAGAAATGAGAAATCTCACATAAGTCACTACAACAATTGTTTTCCATCTGTTCACTGCTCTAATGCTGTTTGATAGGGTAGTAAATAAGCAGCATCTGCTTACCAGATTACCTTGAAAAAGAAGCAAACAGGTAGGATGAGTATTAAAATGCACACAATGTGTAATAAACAGGCAGGCAGGGATATCTATTCCATGTAATAGTAACACAGCATAATCCAAGAGGATTATTTATCACTCTGCAGTTATCCAACTGTAATTCCAGTTTCCTCATATCCCCCATCCCGTTTTTAGCCCGTGCTACATACAAACAGACACAAGCCTGTCCGATGACAACAGCTCCTCCGACACTGCTATGTGCAGGCAAAATCAACTTTGAATAATTGCACGTTCTTTTTCTGTCCCTAAATGTGTTTCTCCTTCTGCTATGTTGCAGGAGCACGGCATACCGACCGGCATGGGGTACGCAGTGGCTCCACACCACTCTGGGGTCTACCCGGTTCACATCCAGCTGTACGAGGCCTGGAAGAAGGTCTGGCACATCCGAGTGACCAGCACAGAAGAATACCCACACCTGAAGCCTGCACGGTACAGACGGGGCTTCATCCACAATGGCATCATGGTACACTGCATTTCCATGCTTCATAGCAATAGTACTTGACAGTGACTCAAAAGAATGCTATTTTTACCAAATGCTTCAAGTTTTACAGCAATCATTACAATTCTCTCTGATTGAGGATTTGTACAGATGCCAAAATAGTGCATTTGTTACACAGCCAGTTTTGTGGGGCATTTATTTTTTTTTTAAAAAAAGAAAATTTCCCACAAACTTAGGCAACTGTAGATGCAATCTGCAGAAACTAAATGTACTTCTAGTCCCATCAACTACCAACTGAGTTATAGATGCGTACTCGGAAATTCATTAAACTGCCTAAGACCTGTGTTTCAAGCTCTGGCTCATCTTTATGCATGAAAGGATTAGCAATCCACAACCTGGGAAGGTGAGGAGGTAGAAGGAATTTCCTCCAGCAAGTATGACACTTCTCTGAGGCTAAGGTTTCACTCCAAGCTTTGTTTCTTCCAGAGCCAGAGATCGGGCACATGCCCAACTCTTCCATACACCACCTTGGTGTGAGGAGTGAAAAGGTTCCTCAGAAACACACTTCAACTGCATAAAGGGCAGGAAAGGTATAAAATGAGTTGCCCTGCTTAACTGCCAGCTGCAACCCAACAGATAGGTGAAACAGTACAATGTGCGTAAGTGGAGCTAGGAGGATTTTGAGGGCAGGTCCTTGGGTGCTTTAGAGTCCCAGCTGACTTGAATATTGCCTATATAAAGTCAAAATTGTGATTCCCTAAAGAAGACAAAAGGAACGTCTCAATCCACGTGAAGAAGTTACTGCTCCAAGTCCGATTACTGTTGGAACAAACCCAAATTCAGCAGTGCATTTCCACGTATGTTAAAATGCTGACTGGAAGGAAACAAAAAGCCTTCCCCACGTGAATTCGGTCTGTCTTGTCTTGAGCAGAGCCCTTGGATAGTATCTAGCTAGTAACATTACTAAGCCATGTAGTTCTCCAAGATGAGTTTGTTCTCCCCTGCCTGCTATCTGGCTCGTTTCTGACGCACACCCTCTTGATTCAGGGCAGGACGGGGAGCTGACCTCGGGCTGGTCTCGTGAGCATCTCACCAGTCCCATAACACATTTCACACACAGGAACTGTGAGCTCCACAGGGTTTTCAGAACTGAGGAAGGTGTGAAGCAACAGGTCTTTTGTGGTCCACAGCCTTGAAGAGAAAAATCACTTCAATGTCTTAAGGACAGTAAGATCAACTGCTCGAGATAGTGAGGATGGCCAGGAAGCACTGTTTATCTGCTAATAAACTAACCTTGCTGAGGGAAGCGAGGATTTGGCTTTTTGTTTTCCTCTTCTAAGCAACAGGAAATAAACACTTAATCTGAGTGCAGGAGCTGAAAAAAACGGGCCGCACAAAAGAACGGCATGTGTGTCACAGCTTGTCAGAGCTGGCAGCTGCAAATGTCTGTCGCTGCAGCGCCGCACTCGCTTTCCACAAGAGTACAGAAGGCACATAAATAAACACAGCAGAGCGCGGCGGCAGGAAGGGTTGCAGTTTTCTTTCCTGGAGTTGCTAGAGGGATTTGGGTGGCTGTGCCAGGCTAAGTTAGCCCTAAGAACGTCAAGTCACAACAACACTGTTATTTTGTTCTCAGGTGCTCCCTCGACAGACCTGTGGCCTTTTCACGCATACTATTTTTTACAAGGAATACCCTGGGGGACCTCAGGAGCTGGACAAAAGCATCCGAGGAGGTGAACTCTTCCTCACCATTCTTCTGAATCCCGTAGGTACCTTCTTTTGCTATTTTTTGGACATGCTGACTAACAAAGAGAAGGGGCGGGGGAAGAAGGAAGGGACAAAGATCAATTTCCTTTTATCTTGTTGGGGAAATAACAATCCAAACCGCTTGCTGAGAGATAACAAGCGGTTTAAGAGGATAGGAGCAAAATATCTTCTGCTAATTTCTAACTACAACTGTATGCACCAAGTTACTGAGAAAGCATTAATTTCCACTCCATACTGTTTACCAACCTGAAGCTGGTTCCCCATGAGAGAAGAGAGTGCTGACTTGTGTAACAGACTGAAAGAAACCAGTGAGGGTAGAGAAAATTGTGTGATCTTAGTCCACTTCTCCTTTTTTTCATAAGCTTGGCTCCTCGGGCACTCTTGTTAGAATGCAATGGAAACTCCAGGGCTCCGGCCTGATATAATGCACTTACCATAGGCTCTTAAAAATAGTTTTTTTGCAGCTAAGAAATACCCCAAGCAGTACAGAGCCTTCTAACGAAGGTTTTCGCTTGGCTCAGTGCTGCATTTCTCTTCCTCTGTCAGCATTTCACGAGCCAGAAACTGTTTATGTGTAGGTGCACATATAAACAACTTGCATGAGGATAAAACAACATATACGTGGTTTTAAATGAGTGCATCCAAATGTTTTTTCCAACGACAGGCTGAGGCTAAGAAAAAGTCTCAGTCTTCAATTAGTCTAAGAATTATTTTAAAGGCTAGTATTGAATGGTGAATGCAATCAGATAAACCTATGCCACCATTTCTCACACTCTCCATAATTCCTTAGCCCAGGCTCTCCAGGCAGCTCCCGAGCAGGACCAACCTCAGAGGTGCTGGACCATCTTCCTTCTGGGAGCTCTAACCTTCCAGGTGCTTGCACTAGCCCTGCCAGGGGTTTCCCCCAGCCATGTCTGATGACTTCCCCCACAAAAGGGCCAAACCCCTCCCTAGATGGGTCCTGCAGCACAGACACGTGTTCTTGGGGCCTCACTGGGTGTGACACAAAGAGTGCTCGAGAGAAGCAGTTCTTCCGTTGGCCTTTTAGGGTTCAGAAGTGATTCAGCAGAGACAGGACTTGTCCTAGGAAGGTAATAAGTAATGGCAGCCAAAGCATTTGAGATGAAATTACCCATCTGTCCTCTAAAGAAATGGTGGGGGGGATTTTTCTTTGATTTTCTTCACTACACCAAGTCATTGTTTTGACCAAGCTATGTTCCAATAAATTAAGAGCTATATATATTACTGGGTGGTATTTGAAAAGGACATATTTTTACGTTGTTAATGTTTGATTCCCCCCTCCCACTTCCACGATTTCTATCTTTACCTTACCAAAACCAATACTGTACTCAGCTAAGCAGCACAAGTGAATTACTGACACGCATTAAGTACAAATCGGTTCCAATCCAAGTGCTTGTTCAAACAGGAAGAAATAAAAGTTAATCACGTGCGAGCTGAAGTAAGATATACCACAAAACCCCACCGTTATTCCAGTCAGGTTGGTACACTAGCCTATGAAATATGCACTGGCTGACAACAGTGAAAGCAAAGCCTAGCCTTATCTCTGAAGGAAACGGGTGTAAGGAGGAAAGCAAGTCATCTGTATTCATGCAACCGTTTTCTTTTCCTAAACATCAAGTTTGGACAGCAGACAAATGAACAAATAGCAACACCTTGCTTTTATTCTGTGTAACAGAAGGTGTAGTCTTCTGGTGGTTAACTGGAAAAATGCTACAGATTAGTACCTAAAATCTACGGTATCCTCTGAAAAGGATCAACAGAGTGCCTATTCCACTAACCCATTACAAATTCAGTTGAATAAAGAAGAATGCTGTCAGTGTGGTGTGTTCCTCAGTCCAGCAGCAGTGCCTACTGGAATAGCAACAAGAGACTTAGCATCTGATATCGTAGAAACTTCTCACACACCTCTGCTCATTAATAAGCTTCCTTAACATTTGGATATCAACTTGTTCAGGGCTTTGCCAAGAGTACAGTTCAGGGGTTTACCACAAGCAGTACGGTGTAAACCAGCCTGTGCTCTCCAGATGGATTATGAAAAGAGCAACTGTCTGAAGTGCAAAGGCTTTTTCGAAGGCATGATTTAAAATATTTTTCTTGTTGACTCATACCGAATGAGATGCCTAATGCAGTCCATGGATAGAAACCATATCCATAAAATTCTAACCAGAAAATGTCCCCTAGCTTGCTTTACACATTGCTGCCTACTTGAAATTTTGTAGGAAAGGGGTTGCCTGCACCACTGTTTGTTTTTGCATTACTAACATAGTTTAAAAACATGTTTCATTTACTCTCCCAAAACACCAGCCAGTCTGTTTCCTGGTGTGGCGGAGATGCACAGGGATGGAGTAGCTCCAATTAATTCGTGACCTCGTGGTCATCACCGCAAGTGAGCTAATCGGTGCACAGAAGCACAGAGAGCAGCCCAAGCGCAACAGAAGCAAGTCAACATCAACACCAACTGTGTTTTAAAAGACAGCACAGAGAAGTTCATGTTTCCGTAGGCTGTTATAACATTCATTTGTCATCTTGTATCCCATCCCCCCAAAGAAGTGCAAGTAGGAACACAGCTTAAATAATCAAGTTTTGATGAAACATTTTTTCAATCAGTTTGATTACTGAAGCACATTTCAAGAATAACTAAACACAGGGAAGCAAATTCACTAAATAGGAATAATGTATCAAATGGGAAGAGTTTATTTATAACTAATTTTGGATCCGACTGCAATTCTCTTAATGCTAATGGTGAGCAGCAACGGTGACATTGTACCACATTCACTGCAATACTTTGTCATCAGTGAGTATATATTCTATCTACTTCGCATGGGAGTGTTTACAAAGGGGCCTTGGAAGGGAGCAGCTGGGAGATAATGAGGGGTTTGCAACTAAATCTTGAAAAAGGGCAGAACTGAATGTCTGCTGGCCTTTCCTAACTGAGAAACAGGCCACCAATGAAAGCTGCTGGTAAATTCTCATTTTTCCCCTCCCGAGCCTTGACAAGCCAACTGTTTACAGAAACCCTGTCCATGGCTCTCATTGGAGTTACCAATTGCAGCAAATGGATTACAAATATTGAGCTCATATAGCCAAAATGTTTGCATTTCCAGAAGCAATACCTTGTAGAGGGTTAATAGAAAATGCCCGGGTAACACTGCATTAGGATAAAGGGTTGACAGACTTTCAAGGGGATCTTCCAATGTTGTTGGTTTTCTTTTTTATGATGTTTGGGAGTTTTTGTTGTGGATTTGTTTGTGGTTTTTTTTTTTAAGAAGTGCTTCTACTGATTTTCACTTTCTAATTTATGAATCCTAAAATGAGTCATGTCTGGCAGAGATGATTTCGTAGTATGCAGAGGAGGAATAAATTCCACCAAAACAGACAGAAACCAAGCCAACCATCCTTTGAGTTTTAATGAGGGTTACAAGAATCCCAGCCAGACCTTTCTAGGATGCAGCTAATGCAGAAAGGCTGCTCAAGTCTAGAGTTTGGGGTACTTATTCTTTGCGCAAACACTTCAAAGCAAAACTCATTAAAGGTAGTGGAAAAAGGCTCAGCGATCAGACTGGGTTTGAAATAAACCTAAATAGTGCAAGTCTTGCAAAAGGTATCAATCTAGCTCTTCTTTGAAGGGTTTTGTTCATTTGGAGGCTTGAAACAATAACAAAGAACTTTGGATTTATTTACAAATAAGAAATACACTTCCAGGTTGGAGAAGAAAAGGAGACATGGCTGTCCTCTTGGAGGTTTCCTTTACTGCTTGATACAAGAGTCATGAAATATTCAACTGAAATTTTTTCTGCCCTGCCAAGACCAAAGTTAGATATTCAGTCAGGTTTATGTTATTATTATCATCAATGTTGTTTACACTGTGATTTGACAAACAACCTCAAACATGGGCTATTTACTACTTTTTAATTAGGACAAAACTCTTACAAATTGTAGCATCAGCATTTCCATGGCAGCGGTGAAAATAAAGCAGCAAAGCCACCACACTCAGAAATGAGGCAGCAAAGAGAAAGAAAAATGACAAAACAAAACAAACAAAAAACCACAACAGACATCTAAAATTTCAGTCAAAAAAAATTTACAGAACTCCTTTCATGCTCAATCTAATTCTGATAGTAAAGTGAAACTTTTCAAAACACTAAGAACAAGATTCTTAGAACTGTGCTGCCCCAGCACGTTTCTGTATTAATTGCAGTTAGACCTTAAAACAATGAAGGACATTACTAGTCAAGAAAACATGTTGCTACTGAAGACACGTCTTCAAAGCCATGAATTTTATATCAAAGAGCATCAGGCAAGAAGAATACCAAGTCCTTGATCCAAGTATAATGCTACCAAGCTACATAAATGTGATTGAAAATGATCTAGTTCTGACCAGCTTTGCAGCAACCTGATCCCCTGTGAAAAAATATTTAGGTTTGCTGCAGGTGTACAGCATTCCACTGCTGCCACAGAAGAAAAACGAAGCGGACTTAAGACTTGAAAAAAAAAAATGTGTTTACTTCCTAAACCACTTGAAACAGCTTTGTTTGCTTTTTGCTGGACCTAAGCCTTGCCAATTCTTAACTTTTTTGAAGTGCTTTCAGATGCTTTCAAAGATTTTTTATGTTTGCTTCATTAGGTTGCATAACTCTAAAAAAAGAAAACCCAAAAACTTTTAACATTTTGAGTTCCACATTTCAGTCATACTCATAATTTTTTTAAGTCTACTTCTTGTTATTTACTTTCATTGCCCTTGAGAATAACTTATCCATTCCCAGAATAGATTTGTCAAATCCCCCTTTGTCTTTGTTCGCTTCACCAGTGCTTCACCATATTCCTTTTCTTACACTCTTTTTTTTTCCTTCTTTAAATGCTTTCCTATCAAGTGTTAACCAGCTTTCCATGCCCTTCTGTCTTTGGCATACTTGGGAGAGGAAAATAAGGTAATTGGCATTAAAGTCAATCTGAAAGTGAGCTTGGGCATAGGAGTTG